AGAAACAATATGCACATATCAATGCGTACAACATTTTCTCTTTGACCACCTCTTCTATAAAACATTTCGGTTACACATTAAAGCATTAAAGAAATATTTTCAATATGTGAAACTCAAGATTGGGGCTATGGTGTTCACCTTGAAATGGAGCCATTCCCTGCGTTGAAGTAATCCTTTTGTGATGCTTCATGTCAAACTATGGAATTAATAAAAAAAAAAAAGGCACAACAGCGTGTAGTTAAGGGTTGCTCATATGTAGCAATTTTATTTAAACAAATATATTTTTTGCAGTTTGTCATTCAGAAGTTTGGCTATGCATGGAGGACAATGAGGACGATTAGCCCTGAGGATGACCTTAATGACTTGAAGCTGGCTAAATGCTACATGCTGCTGCTCAATCCTTGTCCATCGTTGTCCTTTCAACAAAGCGTGTGATTTACAAGGGTCTCTTCTCCTGGCAGGCCACACAGAGTTCAGCTATTCAGCATATCCTCAACTGACTTAATGGGTTGGAGTCAGTGATTTAACGGTGTCCAATTTCCTCCTATTGAACCCAGTAGTGTGGAAGAGACTGCGCCTCCAGTCGTCCTCGTCCTGTGGGGTCTGTAAAACAAAAGGCTGAACCAGAGCCGGGTGGTGATGGAAGGGCTTTTGATTGTTTGACGTCTTCCAGACCTCTCACCTGTCTCCCTGCTTGTAAAAGGCACTAATGTCTCGTTAACGTCTGGTTAATAGCTGACAGACATGGGTCACGTCAGATGTTGCACTAGCTGTTTCTTTTGGCCGTCATCCTAATGGATAAAACCGTTTGATGACCTGACGGTGCACTTTTGTCTGGAAGACTCTGCAGGGTTTTGCCCTTCAGACAGGGTTCTAACACCACTTGGGTTCAGATTGGATAAGACTCCCAGGAAAATTGGGAGTCTTAGCAATAGGCAAAGTGGCATTAGTGGTATTAATGAGAACAGCCTTGACAAATCAGTGCACAGCTACTTGCGCTCTCTAAAGGCTGCTCTCTGATCTGTAGCAGACTCTGACCCAAAAACCAAACGCTGCGTTAGGAGATCCCTCAAAGGGTCGGCTCCTCTCCAAGCATGATGTGTTCACTGAATTCCCAGCCCCTCTCTCACTAACAGAGCAGGAGAATGAGGATGATGAAGGACCCCCGAACCAATAATAAGGAATGTGTTTGTGGTATAATTACCGTGTGGCCTAATTTTTCAGCCATTTAATTTAGGCCTTTGAAGAAACTGAGATAATAGTGTTACCATTTAACACTCAGATTAATCTGTGCTTTCTTTATTACCATGAAATGTGGAAACTGCAGGAATAACTAGTTTTGCATCCTTAAGTCTGAGAACCAACTCAACGTACAGCCTCAGGCCAATGAAGACCAAAAAATGCAGTGGGAAATCTTGGATGAATTCCAGTTTCAAATTTCATTGAGAGGCAAAAGAAGCCTTGAGGCTCCGTTCCACAGTTCTGCATTTCTAGTAATTTAAATAAGGGCGGGGATGGATGTGGGGTAAATAAAGATGAATCGGAAACCAAAAGCGCCGTAGACGTAGTGAGGAAAGTGGCATCCACTATCAAATCTCAAAATATGAAATATTTCTCAAAATATCAAAAAGATTGACAGTATCCTGGTATGTGACAGTATCGCTTTTTCAAGGGAACACATTAATTCATTGACCCCCAAAGGGACCGCCAGCTGCCCAAACAGCTGTTTGCCGCGGCCAACTTGCTGGCCAGCGTGTTAGCTAGTTAGCTTGTTGTGGCTGCTAGTGTTGCTGACAGACTTGGGTCGGATTTTCCAAAACCAAAAACCCTCCAAACAGACTCGGCTCCTCTGTTGGGCACAAGTTGTGTTGGTGCCTCTCTGGTCTCTTTTCCGTGTTTCCATGTAGCAACAGAGTTACTTCTTGTTGTGAGCTTTACCCAGAATGCAGCTCGGCGGGGTCATTTTTAGAAATGTGCAATTATTAGTGTTACAAATTGTTTGTGTCACAAGCTGTTGTGGTGTTTTACCCTGTTAAAGAGTGTTTGTTGTGGGTTATTCATTGTTGTTACAAAGTTAACACACGTAAGACTAGTAGCTCCTCCATGACGTGTAAAAATAAATTCTACTGCCTGTCAAAGAGCAACGTCAGTGGTTATGCCGTAACACCGCTATGAACGACCGTGCGGAAATCTTATACCGGTACACCGTTTGAACCGGTATACCCCTCAGCCCTAATTAATTAATAATATTATATATGTATATGTATATGTATATGTGTGTCCCTTTAAGAGGGTACGTTGAAATCATTTTGAAGACAGGAAAGTCTTGTATGCAAGTAAGTGTAGAAAGACTGCATAATTCTGCATCTTTGAAGTGGACCAAAGTACGCACTCATACACAATTCAACAGTTCACTCCTGAAATACTATCATGCCTCAGGAAAAACAAACACAAAACAATGCTACTTCCAAATAATCACATCATACTTATCTTTATGCCTCTTAAAATACCGTATTCTATTCAAATACCTCATTTCAAATTAAAAAGATAACTGAATGTGTCTTTCAAAAGGCAGATCTGCAATTTAAAATGAATGTTAAAAGATGAAGAGTGTGTTTCTCCTTTATCGTTCAAAATTGTCATTTGTTTTATCGCCAATTGCCGTCCGCTTCCTGTGCATGCGGATGTCTATTTGATAAACAAACAGCAATAAACTTTGCTTCAGGTGAAGCAGTTGATCACTCTGGCAAACAGATGACTTTTATTCTCATTCACAATGTGAAGGGACTGATTTTGCACGTCTCATTGCACAGCTATTTCATGACAAGCCTCGGGCCTCAAGCCGGTGAGTCTCCTACGACATTCCTGCTCCACACAAAAAGCCTATTGTCATGGAAAAAGGTAATTTGTGTCACATTCAGGTCATCTCTTCTAACACGGTCCTATTAGCAGTGATCAATACGAGCTGTGAATGTCCACGATGCAAGAAGGTGAAAGGTTAATACTTACAGTTAAGCGGCTGTCATAAAGATGCCAAATGTCAAGAAATGGTCTGATCAGACAAGGCAGGACAAGAGAGAAATCTAGATCACCACAAAGCCCCATCTTCCTGCTGCGGCCCACAAAGAATCTCAAGTATGTTTACAATTCAGAAACGTAGGAAACAGTCCAGTAAATATTTGTCCCACGTACTCCGTGGACAGGGCCATCCGCAGGACACGCGTATCAGAAGGGGAATCTGAAATCTCTAAATGCGCTTTCAAACAAGCATAGAAGTAACAATGCAGGATGCCTGTCTTTGTTGACACTGTTGACTCAAGGAGATCAAAAACAAGAGCGAGTAAAAACAAGACCGGGGGGCTGCAGTCTCACCCCGACGCACAAAGAGGATCCTCAGTGTCCATCGGAGTGCTTTTAGAGCTGAAACATATTTCAACTTTCACTGACTTGAACTTGTGATACCAAAACTGGAGCATGTTTGTTGTCCTTGTTAATGCAGAAGAATAAAAGACACTGTGGATTTCAGCAGCAATGCAACCAAGATTTGACTTGTTTAATGCTTTAGGTCAGGGATTCCCAAAGTGGGGTGCAGGAAACATGTAATGGTGGTCTAAACGGCAAACTTTTTCAGCAACATTTATAAAACATGCTGAAATCAGGAAAATGAGGGACAGTGAGAGACGCAGGAATCTGAGTGATAGAGTTAATACTCACGTCCAAGGGCGTAACCACGCATCCGTTGGGGGGGGGGGGGGGGGGGTCGTGTCCCCCCCACTATTGAGAAAATACCAATCTGTCCCCCACCAATAATGAACAGTTTGTTAAGCGAAACGCACCGGGACTACTCCGTAGCGTCCGCAGTACCCCGCCAATGTCTAAACCATGGTTACACCCTTGCTCACGTCTCTCGATGGAATCCTCCCTTTTCATTCATATCTGCCTCTGACCCTGTGCGTGTGTCCTCGTCCTTCTTTTTGCTCCTTTAAAGTGACGTAAGTGGAGTTTATTGAAACTTTGTCGCAGTGTTTCAGGGTATTTATGTAGTTTTGGTCCTGATTCAGAATGAATATGATACAGTGTTGCAGTGATGAGTTGCTCCTTTGTTCGGTCTGTGTTCACACTGCAACATTTAACAGCGGAATAAATAAACATCACGTGTGAGCAAACTGTGGTGTCATTGGCCCAATTTGAATGCAGCTATAAATAGACTTTTTCTTTTTGAGTGTGGGGGACTGGGGGGGCACGAACCCAGTTGGGATGCAGAACAGCTGCTTTAGGCGGTAATTACACGCTGTCTTCTGGTTTCCACGGCCAGAGAGGAACTATGGAACATGATGGAAATGAGCTCTGAATGCTTTTATAAAGGTCTCTTCTTCACTGTAACAGGGGTTACGTTAGTTCTTTTTTCTTTAAAAAGGGTCAGCATGGCATTAGGAAGGACAGGTTAGTCTTTTGATAAGGATACCCTACACCTGTTGCCAGCTACTCGCCCCCCCCCCCCTTTTACATGTGCTATCATGACATCACAGACCTTTATTAAATAAGCGTGTTGCTGCTCTACAGATAACGAGTTGTGTCTCCGTCTCTTTGCACTCATCCCGTAGTGGATCGTTTGTGGCCGCTAACACGCTGCATTCTCCTTTTCGTAAACAGAAAAGTTGCCTCGCTTTTTTCCCCAACCAGCTGCAGACTAAACTAACTTTAGACACCAAACCCGTCAACTGCCCCCCTCCCAAAAAATGTATCTGAGCCGCGGCTAGTTTACGTCGCATCGCCCCGAGCTCATTAATGCTAATTCATTAACATGAATTAGCATTAATTAACATTAACGAGCGTGAGGAACTTCCCTCCTTTCCAGGTTACGTTCCAGCGCTAACCCCGCCGCCCCCCCCGGACTAACGTTAACTTGGCAGTCGAAAGGAGACTGACGAGACTTGTGGCTGAGATACTTAACATTTTGTTGGAGAAAAAGAAGAGCCCTTAGCTTAACTTTTCTTTACCTTTTCCGTCGCCGATAACCTCCACGCGGATTCTAGCGCTTCTCGGCGGTCCGTAAAATCCCGGTTTTTGACAACGTCGTCCTCGGTAGGAATAAGGGAAGAAAATCCGCGTGTGTGTGTGTGTGTGTCCGCAGCTGAACTCCTCGCCAGGGGCTCCTCGCGCTCGCGCTCTCTGCGTGGCTCTCCGGTAACAGCCGCGGCAGTTTTTTCCACCACCCCGGCGCGGGAGCGAGCGCACTAGGGAGGACCACGTGAACGCGCAGTTCTACGCGGCACACCGAACCTCCTCCGCGGTGGGAATCCAATGATAATGATAATGACACGACGGACGTCACACTTTAGATAGGAAAGGAATTAAAGAACTGTACTATGTTGAGTTGCCTTTGAGCAAATAAAACTGCATTAATGAATGTGCGGGTACATTTCTTTAAATGTGATTGGCTCATATACAGTAAAGTACCATATTTGTACACAAAATACAAAAAGTGCCAGTTTGACGAGCTTGTGCTTCACTCAAGTATTTCAGAGGGAAACTTTATTTATTTCACTGCATTTTTTTGGCATGTTTTTCAGATGTACATTTCCACATGCAAAACATGTATTCATGAAGTATGAAGCAGAGTACTTCGACCTGTTGTGATTGGTCTGTGACGTGTCAGTAACAACAACAACAACAACAACGTGGAATAGCATGGAAATAACAAGCAGAAATAGCAATACTTTACATTGTGGTTATACTTTTTCTAATTCGTTTGAATACACGTGTGATTGCCCTTATGAGTTGAACTGCATTGTAACCCACCTCCTATATTTGGGATTTACACAAAACTTTATGCAGCGGTGACGTGTGTTCATCACAGTCATTCTTTTTTTTCCATACCTTCAAAGAAAAAACAGATTCGCTGATGTTAAATTCCACACTTTACAGCAAAAGTGAGTTCAACTGATCACCGTGAGGAAAAGACAGATGACATCCTGACAAAGAAAACAGATGTGCACCACACAGCTGCAGTGAGCGTGTGTTATTAAAAAGCAATGAGAGCGGTCAGCGCCTCTTATACTGAAATGTCACTTCCCATAAAGGACAATGACCCCTGGGGGGGGGGGTCCTGAATTCCTGCTTCAGGTGCTATTGGAAATAGTCTAATCTTAAAAGTTTACATTTAAAATTAAAAAAGGGTTGCAGGGATGTGTGAGTGATCCCTTTACTTTCATAAGAGCTCATTCCCTCCAGACACGTTGAGTTTGGAGGACATTCCACCAGAAGACACGAGTGAACGTCTGTGTCCGTTCCGCTCAAGTATCTTCATGCAAACCACAGAGAAGAAAAAGAGACAGCAGCTGCGTGATATCTGAGCTGAATGTCCTGCAAGGGAAAACAGACACGAGGTCTTCTCTGGGTCCTGTTAGAAAAACTCAACTGAGAACCCCCAAATACTGAACCAGGTTTGTTTAAAGAGGATCTTTCAGATGACACAATGTTGATTATTTGAAATCATGTGACCAGGGGTAAAATAATAGAATAATACCAAGTAGTATACAAAAAAGCGACTGTGAATATAGACACATTCACGCTCGGATGCTCAACAGCAGGGAGATTGTAAACTTCATCGATTAAATAAGTAGGCTTTTTTCCCCTCATTTGTAAAAAATCAATTCCATTATTAGTCCACAAATCAGGGCAAAGCGCTCGTTGCCAACTGCTTTGACCCTCCTGCCTCAGACTTTTGACCATATAAGTGCATGTGACTGTCTACAGAAACCATTGTAGATACTGGGGACCGCCGAGTGCCAGCTGGCCACATGAGCCTGACTCATCCGCTCTGCTCTGAGTCACTCCCTGCTAGCCTCCCTCTCTCCCTCCCTCCCTCTCTCCCTCCCTCCCTCCCTGGTCCTGCTGAGGTGAGTCTTTCTTTGCAGAGACAAAAAGTGGGCGCATCACAATCAAGACACAAACTCAAGGTAAAACACGACAACAAGGTACGAACTATTACGTATTTAATGAATCCCCCCGACACCCCCTTCCCTATGTTGTTTTTTCGCAGCTTTGGGGCAACATCAAAGCCACCCCCCCCCCCCCCCCTCAAAAAAAGAGGGCTGTAGCTAAGCTCATTACACAGACGAGCTCTGGGGTCGAGTGTGACAGATGACTCCGGGAGGAGAGAGCAAACAAGGCTAACAAGGCGCTGCGTGTCTCACTGGTCACAGAAGAATGTCCCACAGCACAAAAACACCGGAGAGTCAAAGTCTGTTTAAACTTTGCAGTCGTAGCCACAGCAGCGTTGCCGTGGAGATGGCGAGGTCAGCTGTCCTGACAGAATTATGTCAACAACTGGATGAATTGCCATGAAATGCTTCCCTGAGGATGAATCATCGATTCTCTAGTGATTCTCTGACATTTCCTCAGACCCACCCATAAGGAAGGAATTATTTTTTACAGAAATGTCTCAAGTATGTCATGCTGTTGCCATAAGGATTAACTCTAATGACTTTGGTAGACCTCTCTCCTTCTAGTGCGGGCCAAAGTTTCCCTGATCCACATTAGAAACCACCCGGCTGGCAGTACACTTTGTACAGATGATCAGTCGATGACACTTCTGTTGATTCCCTGACAGATATTTCTGGATTTGAGTGAAATGTGTGGATTACCCCTAAAATGTGTTAGGTACAAATAGTGGGGGAGCTCTTATCTTTTCATTTAGAGCAATTATTGTTGGTTTCACATCAACTTCCCTCAAAAAAGGTCTTAATTAGCAAACCGTAGCATGCTCTGACATGGTGAACATGATGAGCTGAAGGCGGTTAACGTGTTAATAGTTTTATAGGAAGATGTTGGTGTGCTCCCGTTAGCATTTTGCTCACAGGTCTGCAAGCGTGGCTGCACACGGACCCTTTGACCCGAGCGGTCATTTTCCTTTGATCATAAAATATCACAACCAAAACAAGCTTTCATTTGATGAGCTATGTGGCCGTTAAAGTTCACGCTGTCGTGATAACCTGCAAGTAGCCAAAGTCCTCTCCAGACTGCATCACTCGGCTCTGCAGAGCTTGACCTTTGTGTCGCGCAGGTGAAACTGAAACATGGATCCCTCATACGTCCCGCACAGCTATTCAGCGTCATCCTAGTCAGCGATTGTGTAGAACTACTCAGTGTAGAAACCAGCATACTCTCCTGCGGGAACAGAAGAGCTGCAAGGGGCATTGTCTGATTGACACGTGCAGCCCTTGTGGACAGGAAGTCTCAGCTGGCAAAGAGGAAGTGGGTATCCGTACGAGGAAACAGGAAAGACTCGTAATAACAAGTCAGAAAGCAAATGCAGTACTGTGTTGGCAACTTGATACTTAAGCCAAGCGGACAGCTTCTGATCATTTTCAATTTCCAACAAATCAGAATAAATCCACTAAAGAGGATTTGTGGCAGTCGTCAACAGCCATTTTGTTCCACATTCAAGGCTGCGAGTGGGAAACTCCTCAGACGTGATGCAGTCGGTGATTGTGTGCAGCGAGCCGCCGAGCGTAAAGTCATTTGTTTCCTTCTCTCTTGATTCTGGTCAATTACAGCAGAGCTGCTCAATTGACTTAACCAATCTAAATCCTCTTGACTAAATGAGCTTCAGCGCTGACAAAGCACAAATTCACACAGTGATTATTGCAGCAGATTATCCTTTCCGTTCTAAAAAAGGAAAAAAGGATCATCATATTGCAAGTTTTAGACACACCAAAGAGATATTTTTAATCGTCGACGTTGTATAATGAAGAGAAACTTCCGAAAGAAGAAAAAAGAAATCTAGCCGCAATGGTGCCGTTAATACCGAACTTTAGATTTTCATCTCAGTGCAAACATTTTCCCAGCAGCTCATGAAGCAAACGAACCCACAGCTCAAATGTACATACGTTTATTGAAAACAAACACTTTCTCACACAGGAAAAAGAAATAAATGGCACGTTTTTTTCCTCAACAGAGTATGAAAAAAGCAAAGTCTGCTCAGCAGTTTTCTCGGATGTGCTGAATAAAAACCTACTGACACATCGGAACATCTTTGATACCGCAAACATATTGCTATAAACAGGAGCGACGAGCGACATGAAACTACCATTTGAGTATTTTACAAAACAATCTACAGCTATACTTAAGTGTGAATAGTTTAAAATGTAAAACAGTACTTAAATAAATATGAAAACATCACCATAGCAGAGTAATAAAAGATGCATTCAAATCAATGGGATGACGGACCAACAGGAGGAACCGCCGTCGGGGAGCAGTCTCTACCCTGCGGATCTCAATCCAATGGGGGGGACTCGGTCCAATTATCTGGGGCAAAAGCATGACAGCACAAGACACACTCATTATTCACTCTGAAGCAATTAGAAAAAGCTCTGCAACAGCAAACAAATGGACTCCGAGCTGAAGCGGTCTGTCGTGTAGTCGTTCATTTGAGATGGTCAGACTGACAAAGCGATTTCTAAGGCCTCCTTTTCGCCGCGACATTTCATTGGCACGTCAACTAATCAAAATTAGACAAAGCCATTGAGAGAATGTTTGAATGTATAAAAGAAAAAGCCCTTGAAGCCCACGGCCAAAGGGGGGCTGCTCTCACCTGTCCAGGCGGTTGACCACATCTCTCACAGTGTTGATGAGGTGCTCGTTTTCCTGGGGGCTGCCGACGATGATGCTGTGGAGCTTCTTCATGTACGAGTCGATGCTGTCGAGAGTGGGCGTCTCTCCGCTGGCTGTGGGATGACCAGGACGTGATGTCAGTACTTCACAACGCCTCCAGTACTCGAGCTTGTATTTAAAATCATTCGAACTGCGGCCGGCCACAACACATATCTGAGAGTTTATTATTTGTAATTGCAGATGACAGTCGGTCATCGACCATGCGGCTGTATGAGTGGCTGATGGCAATGTGAAGTCACTGCTGCGAGCGACATCCTCCCACGACTGGGTCAAAGACTTTAAACGCGTGTCACGTCACGGTAACAAACCCACCAAAGCAGAAAAACAGAATCTGGACATGTGAATGTATTGAATAATGAGCTAGAGCAGTGAAGCATCTCCAGCTGGAAATCCACATAAACGATGATTACAGAACGAACCAATCAGATCAGTGTTAACATGCCTTTATGTTAACAGCTTATTAAACCATTTACTTTCTGCTACACTGAACCAGAGCCTCCCGGGGCCCGAGTGGATTCATCTCTCACCGTCCGCTTCTTGTGAAATGAAACCCGGCTGTCAGCGTTCCGTTTGCAGAGCACGTGTCTCTGTGCTGCTCGCCGAAGAAATCCAAATAGGCGTGAAGGACAAAAACCTCTGAGCGTGTGTGTGCGTCAACAAAATAAGTCACATTCCTTGAATGGAGGAACGGAACGGGAGCGGTGGGTGTGTGCTGGGGGCGGCCTTCTGTTACAACACTGAATTTGATTTGATTTTTGTGTATTATTAAAAAAATGAAAAAGGGAACTATATTTCAATTTTCATCCTAAATGAATTTTTCCAATTGTACACCGATGAGACTGGAAGGCAGAAAATCCAGAAAACATCTGACGAATGTGGGATGCCCGACCTCATGTAACCAACGGGGAGCGGCTCTCACCTGGCAGAGGCACAGCGGCGAAGCTGGAGGCGAGCGCCTGCCGCAGCGTCTCCAGGTGCTGCTGGAGGAGCCCGTTGCGTCCCCTCTCCTGCATCACGTCGCCCTCCAGCCTCTCCACCGCCCCGCGCATGCTCTCCACGTGTTTCTGCAGCGCCGCGTTGCGCTCCTCGTACTCCATGTTGGTCTTACGCAGCTGGCGCATCTCCGCTTCACGCGCTGTTGGAGGAGTACAGGCAAAGAGAGAGAGCACATTACATAAGAGCAGATTATCGGTGCCATCATTCATTTTTTATTGGCCCGGGGAGGCGCCTTATTTTGCAGTTAGGCTATTCTTAGTGCACCAACGGAGAGGGAATGTGTTGAAACACTGATCAATGGAGGCCCTTTAGCTCTTTACCTTTGCTGTGGTTGAGGAACTCCTCCGTGAAGATCGGTATGTCGAACACGGTTCTGTCCTTCCCTTCCGCATCCTTCTGGAGGGGGGGGGGGATACAAATTAGGTTGGTAATTGATTTCATACCCGGCCACCATTGAAATACAGAGATGCAGAGGGGTAGGCTTGGGGGGGGTAATTTCATCCTCTCTGCTGCTGAAACATCAGTTCCCGTTAAGGCCTGTGGGCGCAATCGTCTCCATCACATGCAGAAGTAATAGAGATAAATGACGCTCTCAGCAGGAACCAAGTGTTTGGATTAGGAACAGCCTTTGGCGACACAACGATAAGCACTTAATAGGTAGAGCAAGGGCGGGATGGGGGGGGGGGGGGCAGACGCAACAGATTCGTGTTCCTGGGTGAGAAAATAGCATAAACACATTCCAGCCTTGATCAATGGGACCAATGCAACGTTCCTGCACTCTCATTTCTATTAATGTTAATCAACCACCCGTTTTGCAAAGTGAACTTGATTTTTCTCCATTGTTCTCTCAATGCCTCCTGGAACTGGATTGGATGCATTGAGGAATTAGGTGTTGATTTGCAGAGAATAAATAGTGCTAAAGTTGATTGAGGACAATATAGTACTTGTTTGTTAGTCTTTGGACAGGATGCGATTTTAATTTTAAGTCGAGTTGTGATAGGCCTCCTTTAGTCAAATGTATTCCTGTTCCACTGAGTAGAAACAGCCCAACCTCTTTTCCTTCACCTCATTAAATATGATATATACTCGTCAAAGGAGAGCGATTAATGGAAGGAAGGAGTTACTGACCTCGTGAAGAGCCTCGTTGGCTACCTGCTGCCCAACATCTGGATGGGAAGGAAATAATAAAAAAGAGCACATGAGTTGATTCACGTTTCCTCCCTTTAATACATCGTCGACTGATATTTCGCATTTCCAAGCTGAGATGTGACCACAGTGACAATAGAGGATGAGGTAATGCAGACCACGTGTTGTGTGACCCCGGTAGCGACAAGCTGAACTACAACTCATACAGCGGAGGTCGTGGTGGAACACAGGAGGCACCGGGCCCCGTTAGTCCAGCTGTCCTAATGGCACCAGGCGCTCGAGGTTCTGGACTTCAGCGACCCTCAGAGGCCGCTGCCGGCGTCCAACCACAGCTCACCTCCCCTGTGCCGCTTGCCTTTCTGCTTCTCCTGGACCTTCCTGGTAAAATGCTTGTAGGCCTCCGTCTTCTGGTACTTCTCCAGCTCGCGCATGTAGCGCTCCTTATCTCGCTCCGCCTCGTCCAAGTATCGCTGCGAAGAAAAGAAAAGAGAAGAGAAAAGGGAGGTGAGGAGGGCCGCCGAGCAGAGAGGAAAACCAGGCCTGGGAGAGAGGAAGATTGTGGGTGAGATGCCCGATGAGTGGGTGTAATTATTTAGAATAACGATTAGTTCCTGTTTAAAGACCAAATTTGCCAATTTCCAGTTCAAACAAGCCACATTAGCTGGAGGCTTGTAATGGGATCTTGATATATCATTAGCTTGGGGATTAGAGGAAACACTAGAAAAACCGTCCTCATGTCCCAGGAAACAGGCGTATCGGACTCAGCTTTGAACTGCTGGTGTACCAGCATGATAAAGATCAGCAGCAAAGCTCTCCGGGCTCCAGCCCGCCGTCTCTGGGAAGGAAGACAAAAAGCCATGATCTAACTTTGAATAATAGCAGCTAAGTACGACGTGTAAGGACTAAGGGACAGGATGGGGCATTTTGTGAAATGACACATGAAGCATTGATGCAGGCATGAATAGAGGGATGGATGGTTGGATGATAGACAGATGGATACAAGATAGTTATTGCCGCAATGGGGAATTTGGATTGATTTGGCCACAGGGGATTTATTGTAAAGTCTTGTTACATTGTTGTAGACTAAACGTTTATTACCAGTTTCTAATTATCAAATGAAAATGACAAACTTCAGATGAATTAAGTGATGTAGAAGCACAGCGGAATAACACATGGTGACCATGGTCCCATTACTACAAAAGAGCTACTCCGTCCTCTGTACCTGTTTCTGGTATTCCTGCTGTATCTCGTATAAATATGAATATTTCAGTCCAGTCTTTTGGGGCACCAGTGGAATTACTGACAGACCAAAGTGATGACAATTAAAAACCCACCAGCTTGTTCATTAAAAACACAACTGGTTGTGCAGCTGGTCGGTTTATTTTCTTCCTGTGTTTTCTCTCAGCCCACTTATTGCACATTATTGCACCACTTGGGGATGTCCAGATCGAGTTATCTTTTTGGGCCCTTTTCCAAGTCATTTATTACAGATGCACATTAAACTTCTTAGAATCAATCCAAAGTGCATGCGTGACAAATCGAATAACTGTTCACTGCATGAAGCCAAGCTGTTCCTTCATGTTGTTATTTTTAGGTTTAACAAGATAAAGACTAAATAACTGACGAATGAACTGATGATGAATGAACTTTGCTATATTTTCTCTCTATTTTCTCCTGACGTTTTTTGTGTCACCTGCGTGGTGAGTGTTGTTGTTGTTGTTGGAATCGGATTGGGACGCCCCCGCTCCTAATCTAAAACCATTTGGGCTTTCTACAGGTAATCGGAAACAGAGCAGCATACAAACGGGGAATGAAAACACAAACACGGGGGCACGGTCGTTAGCTCAATCTGTAATCCCGTCTGGAGCTTCCTCGCCCACCTGCTTGTCCTCGGGGGGCAGCTTGCTCCACTCGTTGCCCAGCATCCTGGTAATCTCTGGGAAGGGCACGTCGGGGCGCTCCGCACGTAGCTGCTCCCGCCTGTCGTTCATGAAGCGGACGTAGCCCGTGAGGGGGGCCTTTGGCGCGTTGCTGTCCTTCATTGGCTTCTTCCTCTTCCTCCCCTTGGTCCAGTTGCCCCGCCGGGGCTTCTGCACAGAGAACAAAAAAGTGCTAAACCTAATCCCTACACTGGTGGGACAGTCATTTGATATCTGTGGGTTCAGCTCTAACCTCATCTCCATTTCTCTGGCTGTTGTTGTCGGCGTTGGTTCCTGGAGAGTTTGTCTGCTCATCCATGACTTGTATGACTTGGAGGGAGATCTGGGGGGAAACAGGAGGGGTTGGAATAGGAATAAAAATGTTTTCCAAATGCTACCATAAGAGCGACAAACGCGGCTGGTATTAATAAACGTTCGGGAAAAGCCGGTGACTAGTTTAGTTAACTGTGCTATCTAGAGGGGGAAATAAAAATGGGGGCACGTATTGCCGCTCGAAGTCGAAGGCTCAATCTTTTTGAGCCAGAGTTGGACCGAGGCGGGACGCTGCCCGGCCAGGAAATAGAGCGCGGACTGTCCTGGCTTCAAACCGTTTTTTGGCCGGCCCTGTTTCCTCTGTTAGAAATGTCTTCACGCCGTCAATCGTTATTGAGCAAGTGGAAAAAAACGCCTATTTTTAACAGGAGTGGGACATTGGTGTTGTGGAGCTGCCTCTTAATTGGAGACACAGGAACGGAAATGCTAAAGAAATCTGTTGTCGAGCTGAACTTTTGTTCTAATTAAAATCTAAAGAGATTTTTTTCCGAACATCGGGAAAATAGTTAAGTTACTTGTGTTAAATCCTAGCTTGAAATTATAATATTTATGACTCTAATCGAAGAATGAAAAAGCATGCTGACTCAGAGAACGGAGTTCTAAAAATAGGAACCACATCCTTGTGTCTCAACCTTTGATCTCTTCTAAATGACAACATGGGAAGTGAGTCTCTGCATCCTGGATGCGGTTTCTGCCTCAGGCCAAGTACTGTGGGAACAACGCACACAGGAATAAGCTGGTCTGCCCCCCGAAAGCCTTTAGGTTTTATATAGGTTTTCTCTACAGCGAACAGTTAACGTAAGAGGGGGTTTTCTTCTAGTGGCTCCTCTAAACGACTGAAGCCTGAATGCTGTCAAACAAGAGGACCACAAGAAGCTTATTTGACCCAGCCTAAGAAAAAGGTTCAGCTCTGAACAAACAACTCAAAAGTCAAAAGGATCGCATTACCTAAAGAACTACGCCGCAGTGCCATCTGCAGGGGGAAAGTACACAATGCATCACCCAATGACACATTGCAATGATTTCTACCTTCACAATACTAATACACATTTTTCTTGAGCATTGTTTCAGTTTCACCTTTCCAGGGAGCAGTTATGTCTTGAAACGAAAACAACTCATTTACAAACCACTTCATTCAATTGGTCCACTATGTGGGTGACATGACTGATTATATCATTTAAATCAGCTTTTTTTCTAAATATGAATCCCAGAATAGTCCGATCTCAATTTAGACTTCAAAAGCGGGGTTATTTCTTGTTTAGCAACCCCAGAAAGTAAACATAAATAACACAAGGTATTGTTCTTTGTTGGCTGTATTGACATTAATGTGACACACAACGTGTGATCGGCCGGTTAGCATTAAAGTTAACGTTTAGCTACATGAATGCAGGACACGTCTGTTGACAATGTGATACAATATCGTAAAACTGCCTCCCATATACTCTAGATTAAGTCGGCCCAAGGAAGAGGACGTTGTTGAAATCCATACCCAGTGTGTGACCAGCTGGCAAACAGCAACATTATTGGCTAGCGTCAACTTACACTCGCGTTAGCTAATGTTCGATTACAACAGCCGCGGTGGATGAAACGCGGTATCCGACGCCACGGCATAAACTAACGGCAGTTTAATGTTCGTTAACGTTAATAATAACGTTAAGATTAACGCTCGAGTTCATATGGAAGTGGTGGTTATCAAAGACAATGGTCGAGCACTAGCATGTTGGACTGATGTGCCAGCTAAATTAGCTACCTGAGTGCTAACTACGGCTATCACACGGCTAGCCGCAGTTAACTAGCCGACAGGCAGCTAACGTTCTGCTTTTGGTGGACGCCACCATGTGAATGCGGGATTTGAAACGCCACAAGTTCGATACTTAACGTCCGTTCAGTAAAACAACCGAGAGAAAACAAACCTTAGATAACGTAATCCGTAGCAGGCCGTTTGAAAAAGGAGTTTCCTAATCAAAACAATAGCTACTGCAGAAAGTCCATAGAATCAAACCACATAGACGGGCAGTTGCTGAAATATGAGCTTTTGGTCCAGAATGAAAAGAAATTCGTCAATTATTCTATTTTTTAAAATGATGTGTCGAATATGAGTTTGTCTTTTGTTTGAGATAACGACAACGGATTATTCACAAAATAAAATGTTGAATCTAATATGTTGACTATTACTACCTTGCCTGTAAAATAAAAAGGTACACACCAGCACCGGCAATGGTATTAACACTATTTCAACATGATGAACTTGCAAACATGGATCGGAGCCAACGTAAAGACAGTAAAAACAAATGCAATTACTATTTTTAACGTTAGCAAATTGATCATTACAGCAAACTGCTCTAGATGTTCTAGTTCTGTGGCCTCCCGTCGGTCACCATTTTCTTCATGTAAATATAATAATATCTTTTGGGGTGTTATCGCCCCCTACTGCTCTTCATGCGCATTGCATCTCTTAAATTCGTTTCCTGGGATGTTTCTCTTTCAAGCTTTATTTGTCAGCCATGCAATCCAAGTTGGCTACATATCAGTGATTATATGAAGCCATCAATGGGTGAGATGAGGAAATCTTTCATCTGATTTGGATGCACTCTTGCAACATGATCCAAGGGGCAGAGCTGGCGCCGCCTTCCACCTTGTAGTGGTTTCCTAGGGTATTCCTTCAGGCCTCTGTTGCATAGACAATGTTTACGGCAACCCTGGGGTGCAATTAAACTCTGCAGGCAATCATATCTTCCTATTGCACCGAGCATCCACTGATGAAGGGTTTTATTTGTTTGAGAAAAATACACTGCTCGTGGAGGCCGTCCCTTTCAGCGAAGCCTCATCACTGCGGGATAATATGGAATTCAGTAACACATTACTGTTGGTTTGTGGACACACAATTGATAGTGAAACAATCAACCGATTTGGGACGAGAAAGATATAAAAATGAGTGAGTGAGAGAGTGAGAAGGCTAATACTCTAGTTTCAAATGGACAGATCAGAAATGAACCAACACCCAGGCGGGAGTCACTTTAGCTGCAGTCTAATTGAAACTTCAATTGCAATCTCATGGCAATTACCCAGAGTTAATCCAACCCCATTCTCAGGCTCATTAGGCAAATCCAGATTTTAGGAAATAAATTCTCAAACCAAACCAAGACATGCTGCTTGGAACGATCCTTACATTGTATCTTTGCGATAATCAAACGAGTTCCTGAGGAAGTAAGAAATGTTTTCCCAGGAATTCTTCAGAAGAAATAGCAAATCTCTCATCAACATTCTCCACCGCCATTTATATTATAAAGCTCGGTGATAATATGAGACGTCTCACATTCTCGCTCTCCAACAGTAAAGTAATAATAAAAGTAGCATTGCCTGTGGAATCTCTAAATAACTGCCTTGAAATGCAGCATTAATGAAGACCAACTGCTCTACTCCCAGAACCACTATGTATGACTTGGATTTCAACGTTTTTCAGCGGCCACTGCCGTGTGGAGCGTGTCACAGAAAAACAAAGCTTGTGAAACGGCGAGCCAGGTTCAGTCAGCTCCACACTGGAGACTCCTCAGATCCCAGCGGGCCCGGGGGGCTCAGCACCCAGCTGCCCCCCCCCCCCCGTACCGTAATCCACCTGCCGTGTCATCTCCGATCACCGGGTCCCAGCCTGAGAGGTTTAGTGCAGAGGAAAAGGCTTTTCAGCCACTGGCCCTTTGTGGGTTGGCCATATGTCCATTGTGACACCCACACTACGTGCATGGAGCCCTCCGTCTGCCTCCGGGTGTCAAAGCGTGGCAGTGTCACATGGTGGGAGCCTGTAGGGTGGGAGAGTAGATGGTCAAGTTGCGGATGTTGTTGGATGATGAGTTGCCACTGTGTGAAGTGAACGCGTTGCACAGCGGTATAACGTTGTCTTGAGGCCTGATTCCAGAGGAGCAACATGTGTATTCGGTGACCTATGGTCCACAAAACAAAACCCCGATTAACACACTGAATGACCATAATACTACTCATGTTCAGCCATTATCTGCAGGCATTATTGCGAGTCAGGGTACTCATTTGGTGGAAGAAGTACTTTTTTCCAAATGTTACAGTAAAAGTACTGTCAAAAAAGTAATGATTAAGCAGTACAGCTTCTGTCGCATATTAAGGGTCCTCGCTACGACTAGTCTTAGAGGATCCTATTGTATTTCATGGAATTATTATTCCTTTCTCGAAGGAATTTTGCTATGTTGGGGGCTTTATCATATTCAAAACGTTGTTACATTTTGCATGCATCAGGATTTGTGAAGAATTTGATATTTTGGGGGTTTCGCATTTGGGTATATAGAAATGTCTCTATAGTAGGGGAGAGCGAGGCATGTTGTCACACTTTTCACACTGTCTAACATTTACTGAGAACCATTCAACACAATGGTATAAAAGTCATACCAAATGAAAGAAGGAAGTCTTGGGCACATATGTTGTATTCATAACATTTTCATATCTTATCTGATTAAAGAGTTTTATACTGTAGAATAGAGAGAGTGCACTTGAGACAACTTGCCCCATCAGCGGGTATGTTGTCACAATAGATTATCTTAAAATATGAGCACAACTACTTAATTGTGAATATAGATTTATTTTATTTTATTTATAAATTTTATTTAATTTCAAACCAGAACTAGAAATATAAACTATTGTCCCTGGAGAATCTGGAAACAATCATTTAAATCCAAACAATGCACATCGTTCAATCAAAACACATGAACTTTGCTGCAGATAACTTGATTAACTTGTGTGCCACAGCAAACTGGTTGGCAAGCTTTCTGACCTCACTTGGCGACAGACCAAACTAATTTTTTGAGAATGTTCAATGTGTTTATTTGTACATTTGTACAAACTGACATGTGTGTTAATGTTGGCTACATCTCAAGGTTAGCTTAACATACCACTTTAGCTAAGGTATCAAAAGACTCGTTACTGTCTCCTCTATTTTGTGCAAAATAATTATTTTTAACATTCATATCTAACAATGTTGTATTGCATAAAATGTAAAGTGCACATTTTTAAGCAGAAAAATAAGAAAATTGTGCTAACCTCAGATTAGAGTGACCGTGACCTCATGTGAACAGGAAGATACCATAGAAGAAGAAGTCACACAAAGTGGCTGTTTTGATTTTTCAGATAGCGCCTCTAGTGTTGGAGTTATGAAGAGTGAGACAACATGCCCCGCTTCCCCCTACCACACAAGGCCAGTTCATTCCCACGATTCCCAATTGACTTGAAATTTGGCACACATGTGCTCTTGGACACGCTCTACAAAAGTCAATCATGGTATGCAAACGTGCCTGACTAGATTTTCCGCCATTTTGAATTTTCTCCTAACCGCTGTCAGATTGAGATGGAATTTTCTTTGGCTAATTATTGATTCAATGTCCTCCTGAATCATGTTGATATCTCATTGTTTTGAAAAGATATGTGCTAATGAACTTAACAAGGGGTGTGGCCTGATCTGTCAAGACTCATAGGTATATGTAACCAAGTAACATATGTACACATTGAACACACCCTCATTTTTCCATAATATTTGAAGAACCAGGAGCGCCGCAGTTAATTGTTGAAAATCTGCATTGACTTCATTTTACAAATCAAACTTATGTTTTACTAAGAGTTTCTAGTATGAATTCTGTGATTTTTGCGGGGGTCGCTGCTTCCTCTTGCCAGGGCTCCTTCTCCTGGGGTTGAGAAGGTCCCGGAGCTCGAGGCAGGCTCTTTGATAGCTCCTGGGTCTGAAAACAAAGTTGGTCTTTCGCTGCCAAAACGGGCTCCTCGCGTCCAAGTAGTCAGGTCCGTATTCTGCGTCATTCTTTCACGATCGGGTAGGCGGAGGCAGGACTCAAACACAGAGTTGCAACAAAAAAAGGACTTTAATAGTAAAAGTTCAAAAGGTGCAAAACACAGACAGGGAAACAGGAACATTCACCAAGACATTAAGGGTGGAACATTCAATGACACAACGAGGAGCAAAAGACACACAGGGTTTAAATACACTGGGGAGGTGCAGGTGATTGGACACAGGTGGAAACAATCTGGGACACGGGAGACAATCACAGGGGACGACCGGACAAGGCAGGAAGTGAAGTTGCCCAGGGACACAAGAGGCAGGAAACTACAAAGTAAAACAGGAAATCACCCTAAACCATGACAGTAGCAGCCTCTACAAATATTAATTCAAGCAGCCCCAGCGCTACGGTAGACCTACAGGTTTGAAACTCCAAAGTAGGAATATGTAAAACAAGTCAACTGAAAAAAACGTCTCTTGGGAACGTGCTCGAAACCGTCCGGATTTTTGTGTGATGTTTGTGTGATATACATATCAGGACTAGTGAGTACTTGAGACCTTTGCCCATATTTCTCATGTGTCATGAAATCCTTACCCTGTAGACATCCATATAATCATTTTCAATTCTAGTCAGAGCGCCAACTAGTGGCAACAGGAAGTTACATGTTTTTTATTCTATATCCTGCTCCTCAGAAATGAATCAGAACCCTCTTAAATATGTTGAATGTTAAAGACGAAGTTTGCATTACTGGTGTCACTCCTTGGTTAACAACGACTGACGGGCGCAGGAGTTCTTCGCTACTACTTTGTCCATCGCTGCTCGCAGCTTTAATTCAATATTCTGCTTTGTTTCACATATTGAGGACAAAACGTCCCCACACCTATCCATGTCGGTCCCTATTTTGTTAACATCATCCTCCTTTTAACACTAATCAGACAGTTGCATTTCAACAAGATAAGGCAACGGTCCTTACGCACCTGTTCTCTGTGCTTTATGTTTGCGTGGAGCAAGCGAGGGGCCCTCGAGCTGCCCGACGGGTGCGGCGCCACATTCGCAAACAAACACTGAACCAAAAGCAGTTGTGCCGATGAGGTTGTTAACTAAGCTAACGAAATGCATTACTTTGCATGTGTTGACGTCTTTGTTGTCAACGCGAGGCGCTATTAATATTACATACCTATCTTCAAGCGGGTGGCCATGAAGGGAGCTGCAGCGGATTTATTCTCATTAACATCC